TATCGCGTGCCTTCCACGTCCAGGTTCGCCGCGACTGTTCTCAAAAGCTATGTTCCTCGGAGATGTCCAGGCAACTCCCTCCGACAATGCGAACACGCTTGCGCTCGGATTCGGGCTTGAGCTGGATGGACATAAAGCTGGCAGCACGCATGCTTGTGGATGCCGATCTTGACCCTTGAAGCACCAGAAGCCTTTAACTCCAAATTCCTAAACCTTCGCTTCGGCTCTGTATGCCATCTTCGGCTACTATCATTATGGCGCGCTTTGCGAGTTTGAGTTTCGGAGTTAGGGCTTTCTGGCCGGGCGAGCACTAATCAAGCCGGTGGACAAAAGGGCTTTGGGGCATGCGATTCGCTTTTGGCTTGGGCTTCAAGTTTGGATGAACGGCTTAAAGAGTGGAGCAAGGCGGCTGGAGCAAAGACCGGTGGCACAAGGGGATAGAGCCGAAACCCTGGCAGAAAGTCTTTATGGCTTTATGGAGGTCGGGAGTCGTCGGGTCGCTCTCGCATTTTCTGCCCCTGGACATAGCTTCGCTCCTCCCTGCATAGTGAGTGCTCACACTTCACGTCTTTCTCGTCCGGTCAGAGAGGTCACAGAGCGAGAAGGCATGCGATGACTAGAGACCTGCCTCAGGCAGCAGTATCCGGCGACGGAGACACCGAGGCAAGTGCCGAGACAATCTCGGAGGCAGAGTTCCGACACGTCTGGGGCCGCAGCCCAAGCATCTCTACAGTTCCAAGGATGCGTTACATCTCCGACCTTTGCTTTCCTTCGAGGATTGGGCAAGGAGCTTTCTGCAAAGTACGCAACGTCCATGGAAAAGGTGGCCCGGGACAGGCCGAGTGGCATGCAGCTGCGTGCAGTGGTGCAGTGAAAGTTTCCAGCTGCAAGGCGGCTTTTCTGGAGGTGCGTGGCTCCAAGGAGCTTCCGGTCAGGGTTGCTTCTCTGTCATGTTTTTTCGCTTCGAAAGTTTCGGCTCCTTGCAGGGACTCGGAAGGCATGGCCACTTGGACTGTGCCGGAGGCTCCAGGTGAGGCCTGGGGCTTCTGGCGGAAAGCCGATGACTGCGAGTCGGGGAAATGAGCGAACAAAAGCTAAGATAGCTCCGACGGATCGAAGCTGAGAGGGCGAAGAGGGTTATCTTGTGGTGAGATGCCGTGCCTGCACCTGACATGGCTAGATTATGCATCGTAGTGTTTTCATTTGAGGCGATGGAGGCGGAGGTTTGAAGTTGCGCAGGGCTTGAAGGCCATCATGCTGTTCAAGTCAAGCTCGCACAAGCCTATATGCTACAATCACTACAGCGGGGCCCCTGTCCTTGTTGAAAGAAAAGAGCAGCAGCAGCAGCAGCTGTGCTTGGGCTGACAACAACGCGCAAGCCAGACACGCAGATCGCCAACTCTGCAGTCGAGCATTTTTCTGGCAAATCGGTGGCATCCCACTGCTCCCGTGGGTAACACCCCATGACGTGTTGCTGCCTCAGGTGTTCGTGTACTGCCTGACAGTGCATTACGTCTCAAGTCTGCAGCCTCACCAGCATCACTTGAATTAGCCTTGGTCGCCTTGGTCTGTGCCGCTGGTTTTTCGTCCGGGGACCGGATACTGGCAGACTGGGCACCATCCCACGCCATGGGATGCGCAGCGTTGAAGCCTTCCAACTCCCGGGAGGCACTGCTGCACTCCAGGACGCAGAAGTACGGAGATTCTTTTGGCCGTCAATGAATCTTCTCACCTTCAGATCGGAGCCTGACCGGGCAGCATTGCAAGCACCTGAACGATCGAGTTCAGGGAGGAGACCCAGGCGGGTGGGAGGGGACACTTTGGTCCAGTCAGCTGTGAAGCTTCATTTGCAGAGACTTGCTTCTTGTGAGGGGGTTGGTGCCGGCGTCGTCCTCACCTACATAGACGGCATCGTATTCCTTTTTATGGTGCCAGTTCTGGGTTCGCCGACCCCCCCCCCACCTCCACTGGTACCCTCCCCACCCACCCACTCCCAAGCCGAATCTGTGTGACTGCGCACACTGGTTTGCACATGAGGGCCCCAAAACCGCCATCTCTCCCGGGGATCGCGTCCCAAAGACACCCGATCCGTGTGACAGAACAAACTTTCCGGCACGATTCACACATGAGGCCGCCAAAGCCGTCAACTGTTGTCACGAGGATCGCTTCCCAAACACGTCCGATCCTTGTGAGTGTGGACACTCACAAAGAATGGAATGCAACTGTCACGAGGACTGCGTTCCCTGACAGGCCCGATCCCTGTGACATTTGGCCCATTGCATCCTGATGGCAATTGCCCCCAAAGCGACAACTGTCACGAAGATAGTGGCCCTACGATCATGCAGAAACCTATGTTCTTTCCTGTGACTGGTGTGCCTACATGAGTCAATGCTTCTTACGACCGGCTGCTATGGCTCTAGTCACAGCTGGCACATGAACCAAGGGGACATCTTAAGACAGTATGTGCAGAGTAAAGCTTGACTTGTCAAAGAGAGCCTCAGGTTTGTGCGAAAAATAAGTGACTCCGGTGTGCGAGGGTTCATGGCTTCTTGTGGCACTGACTGCTGATTTGCTGCTAGGTGTAAGACCTGACCCTTGCTACCTCAATTCGATCCTGAACAGCAAGTTCTATAGCTTATGAGCGTCCAAGCTTTGGACGGCTCCGCTCTTCGAGAAGATCAAGGTTTCGGTGCTATGGCTTCAGAGCAAACAGTGGTGAATGGTGTGACTCGAGAACTACGGACTACTGACCCTCCGGCCACAGCTCAACAGGTACCTTCGGCGATGGAAAATCTTAACGCTGGAGATTTGGCATATTTGGAGGATAGAACAAGAAGTCAAGGAGTTCGAGAACAGGGTCCTCGTTTGCCTCAGCCTACCACAGCTGAGCCGCCGTATGAAGGCATGACGCATCCGGGCGCGAACGTTATAAGTACTGAGCTGAACAGAGCGCGTATTGGAGGTCAGCGCTCCGCAACCCCTACGAGTTCTGCTATGAGAGTTCAGGAATTCTATACGTCGCAATCTGGAGAAACTGGTGAAAGCCAAGGGGTTCGATGGATGGCCAGGTTTACTGAGTTTCTGGGAATGACGGTAACAAGAAGTGCGAATGGAGTAGACAGAATGCTGGATGGACTGGGAATTCCTAATCCAAGCCAACAAACGGATGCAAGAGCTGTGGGTGGAACTGCGGTTACAACGATCCCTATGAACTTCTCACCTCCTGAAGCACTTCCTTCGTCAGCTACTCAGGTGCCAACAGTTCCGGGTTCATGGGCTGCGCCACCGGCAATTGAGGGCCCACTTTTCGGCCCGATGGAATTGGCAAGTATGCAACAGGCTCAGAGTGAGTACCCCTTGATTTATGGAAGACCTCAAGGGCAAGGCTCGGAAGGGGACGCGGACAGGTCCTCGAGACTTCAAGCTGAAGTTCAACGCCAACTTGAGGAGTATAAGATCAAGCAGCAACAAGAAGTTGAACAACTGCAAAGAGAGATCATTCAGCTAAGGTTGAGAGAGATGAGGAAAGGATAAGGAACCAAGCTGCTGGGATACAAGGTCATGGTCTTCTACCTCAGAGTCATGGTGTACCCGAAGGGAATCAAGGCTTAATACCACAACAACCACCTGCAGTACCTCAAGGAGCAAGCCCTCCAGGGTTAATTCCTGTGCAGGTACCTCGGCCTTCCCTACCCCCCAGCTGCTCGGGACTCCAACCAGCGGGAAATGGGAATCCTCCTCTATTACCTCCGGCTCCAAGGCACATGGTTATGGAGTACCTGAATGGAGTCATGCTCAACTACCACAGAGTTACAATGTACCTGGGAACAATCAAGCAGCTCAACCACTAGGATGTGGAGTATCAGGAAGCATTCAGGGTCTTCTACCTCCGAGTCACGGTGTACCCGGAGGGAATCAAGTCCCGGTCCCAACTTTATGCTCAAGCAGGTGGTCTCCCTGGTCCTTCTAGCAATGCTGCTCAAGCAGGTGGTCTCCCTGGTCCTTCTTCTCGCAATGCTGCTCAAGCAGGTGGTCTCCTTGGTCCTTCTATCAATGCCGCTCAAGCAGTTGGTCGCCCTGGTCCATCAGGCAATCCAGCCCAAGCTGGCGGTCTTCCAAGTGGACAGTCGAATGCGCAACAATGGCTGGGACCACAAGGCCAGGAGGGACAATAGCCACGCGGAATGGCTCAGCTGCAAAGGGCGATGATCAAGCAGATCGATAAGGGTGGCTTTGAGGACAAGGCCCAAGAAACAATAAAACGGAGTACCTTGGCGTTGCCCACGCTGAAGGAGGTGGTGGCCGAGACGTCTTGCATGGATATCATGGACTGGATGGAGCTGATAGATGGCCGCCCGATGAGTGACCTGTCAGACAGCAGTGCTGTGTGGTGGAAACATGTTTCTTCGGAGGCTTGCCGGGCATATGGTCTTTGGAGCTCCGCGAGTCCCCTTGAAAGACTGGCAATCTACCCTGAGGTGGGCGACTTGGAGGACGGAAGATTCTCCCGGTTGAACAGTAGAGCAGCGGCAATGATTGTCATGGCGATCCATGAAACAGTGCGTCAAGAAGTTGTGGCGAGGAGGCTGACGGGAGCAACGGTGCGGTTGATTTTCCGGTTGCTTACCCTTTATCAACCTGGAGGTGAGGAGGAGAAGTTCAAGATTCTGCAGAACCTTCAGGTGCCACCCCCAGAGCAGGAGGCGGCTAAAGCGGCTACAGCTTGAGCTTGGAGTCGCTGGCGTCGCAGATGCAAGGAGCTGAAGGTCCAGGGATACAGCTTGAGCTTGGAGTCGCTGGCGTCGCAGATGCAAGGAGCTGAAGGTCCAGGCACCGGACCCGGGCCTTCTGGCGAGGGGACTGACGAACTTGGTGAAATCTGTCCTGGACAAAAAATCCTGCCGCCGCCTTCCGGACGTCACTTAAAAGTACGCTTCAGATAGATAGCATCCCGAACTATGAGAAGATCGACAGCCACTTCAAGCACTTGATGGTGTGACATGGCGGCTGCAGCGAATGGAGTGCAGACGGTAACAGTCCAGAGGCCAGATCCTAAGCTGAGACCACTGAAGCCGGAGCCAAAAGCGAGCCCGACAACGGCAGCCCTGAAGTCTACCTCAACCACTACAACGACGGCGCCTACGGATGATAACAATTAGTTCGAGAAGCCAAGTCGGAGGTTCAATGTCGCTTCTTTGGGAGAACAGCACAGTTTCTACGACAACGGGAAGCTCTCCAAAGAATGCGTCGGAAAAGACTACCAATGTAACCTCCTCCACCTCGACTCTACTACAAGCGCAAGGACTGTTCGAGTGGATGATCGACCGGATGTGGTTCCCGTACCGGCCCGGACTTCGGAGTACAATGGAAATGCCGGCGCGGACATTAAGGAGGTGCTCGCTGATGTTGGACGAGTTTTCAAGGCTGTCGGCGACTGCTTTGAAGAAGTTCGAGGTGGGAGAAACTGAGGTTCCATCCGAAAAACATCAAGGCCTTGAGAAAGCCAAAGAGGATGGTGTGGATGGTTTGCTAGACAGCGGGGCAAGTCATGCTATGAGACCGGCGTCTACTACAGAGTATCAGTCAGGAAGCCCGGGAAAGGTTACCCTAGCTGGAGAGGATGCACGTATCCTGAAGCAGAATGACCAGGGCACGATCTTGGTGGAAGATCAAGGACAACCTGTGCAGCCTATTGTCCCGTTAGGAGCGATCATCCAGAAGCTGGGGTACACGTTGAGTTGGGGGCCAGAACCTTAAGCTATTTCATCCGACCAAAGGAGCCATCAAGATGAAGGTCAAGCACAATTGTCCAGAAGTTGCAGCGTGCGATGCGTCGGATATGATCCGGGAGCTTGAGATGAACCAAGTGGATGAACTCAATGTTAGCATGGAGTCCGAATGGAGTCCTTGAAAGCAAGGTTGGAAGTCTTGAAGAAAGAGGAAGTCCGGGAATGGCGGCTTCCGGAAGACGTGGTACGCTTCTGAAGGCTTTGTTGAAGTGTCCCTTTACAAAGTGTTGTCCTGCGGAGGTGCAATCGTTGCTGTCTGGAGGAGTTCGACCCGGGTACGGGAGAGGAGTACACGAAGGCTCTTCTGATAACGCGAGAAAAGCACGAAGCCCTTATGAACTCGCCAAGTTGGGTGGTTGCACTGTTGAGAAAGTGATGGGGAAGATCCACTGAGGACTTGTCCGCTCGCTGGCAAGATCCTGTTGGAGGTCGACATCAAGGCCTCGAAGCTATGGCATGTTCATTTGACCTCCGGTGTCTACAGGTCACTGTGATGGGCAGCGGCAAATTGGGAAGATCTCAGACATTGTTTCCTCGCTTCCGGACCGAACTTGGCCAACATGTCGAACTCCGAGAGACCAGAGGCCGAACCCTTGAGAAGGCTGGAAGCACCATTTGGACGTGATGGACTACCGCCGCTGCAACAACAACGAGTGCATGAAGAAACGGCTTGCGCTGCGAAGCAGATGCTCTTGTGGCCACTGGCCACCTGAGCGAACAAGGGCAACGTTGGGCTATGGTATGGAGCTACCTATGGACCCCAGACTGGTTGCATGAAGGAAGTTCACCACATGATCAACATGTTCACTCGTGTACTGCAGTTTTTCTCGAACTTTGGATGAGGCCCCTGCCTTTAGTTGCTGGGGGTGCTTCGGGAGGTCTTGCCGGTCTTCTGTTGACTTCTTTGGCCTCTGTTGGATTTGGCCTTCCTGGCCCGCCTCTTCATTGCTAGAGAGGCGCGGAGGGTGCTGCGAGTCCCGGTCACCGGTCCTTGAATGAGCGGGAGGCTCCTGGAGCTTCAGTCTCTGAGGCGAGAGCTCTTTGAGGTGCGAGGACTTCTGAACCGCCTCGAGAGCCGCATCCAGGCGCTTGAGGAAGAAGCAGCTTTTGAGCTGGTGGATCCCTTGCCCGGGCCCGCTGCGGGGCCCTCTTCTCCCTCCCCCGGATCAGGTGGAGGTTCGCTCTCCCGGGGTCCTCCCTTGTCTCCTCAGCCTGGTTCAGGAGGAGTTAATCTCTCCCAGGCTCCTTCGCCTTCCCGCCTGCCCGGTTCAGGAGGAGGCAATCTCTCCCGGGCTTTCTCTCCCCCTGATCGGCCAGGAGTGGATTTTGTTCTGGCCTACGACCTCGTTTCCGAGGTCTTCCCGGATCGCTCTTCGCGGTCGAACCCTGGGCCGCCGAACTCTTCCTTTCGGACGGCCGTGGCTAAGGAGGTTGGCCAGTTCCTCCGCAGAGCCCTGGACGGAGGACATTTGCGTACATCGGGCAGGAGTGCCCTCACCCTGTCTTCCAAGTACTACATTGTCCTTGCTGACTTTGAGGGTCGGCGCTTTTCTGAGCCTTGTGTCTTCTCTGCCTTTGCGCCGGCGAAAGCCCTCTGCATTCGTGGCCCGGACAAAGGGCAGAGCATCTTTGTGGGTCTGCGGAGGCCGGGGAGCGCTTTTCCCTCCAGAGGCTCCTCGAACATTCATTGGAGGGCTCTTCTCCTCAGATCGGTGAGCTCAGGATTGAAGCGGAGGCAGGGCCGACCCTGTCCTGCTCCATCGTTGTGATCGCCCAGTTTGAAGGCAGTTTTTTGGTGGCGGTTCCCCAGACGGCATGGCGTCGCACGGCTGGGCAAAGGTACCTGCCTCGCACCGCGCTCAGCAGGACTGTGCTGGCCGAGGTCTTGGCAGCGGCGTCTGCCATGCGACACGGCGTGAAGCTGAAGGTTTGGCTGGGGATGCTGGACCCCGCTCTCGAGGGCCTGGTGGACTTCGCTGTGGAAGGCGAGTTGTCGCCGGATGTGGGCTTTGGCTCTCGAGCATCGGAGCGCTTGAATCCCTACGGTCCTTCCTTGTCGGCGATAGCATCCGAGCACTACGCCTTTCAGACTCCGGCAGAGGATGTTCAGATGGAGGGCGGTGGCGCCCCCCGCGATGGGGAGGAATTTTGGGAGCAACGTTTGACGAGTTTGGAGGCTGGGGTTCAGCGCATCCAGGCCAGCTTGGAAGCCCTGGTGGACGGGGTTCCATTGAGTGCTCCCGCCGAGCATCTTCCTGGGGCGGGCGTAGGACCTCTCCCATCTCCTCCGGCTCCGAAGGCCGCAGCGCCAGAAAGGCAGGGGTTCCAGAGGACCAGCTGGTGCGGATGTCTCGCCTCGCTTTGAAAAGCTCCGCTGCTCCTGGAGCCAAAACAAAGGCTCGAACAAAGTTGCCGCTGGCGCGACACGACCCGCTGGACGAATCCGACGACGACCCCGCCCCGTCCACACGGCGGTTGTCCAAATCGGGCAAGTCCTCAAGCTGATGCAGAAAGACAGGGAGAAGAAGAACGACCTCGAGGACATTCTGGAAAGAGCGGAAGGTGGGGCCCCAGATTCGATGGGAGCCAGTGGTTCGAGCGGTCGCTCGAAAACGGCATTCTGTGCTCGACCCATCCCCGCACTGACAGCCGCCTCTCCTCCTGATGCGGCCCAGACTGGGCTCCCACAAAGTCGTCCATCATCAGACCCTCTCTGGAAGCCGAAATCTGCTCTGGGGCCGAGCGAAGGATGCCACGCAGCTTCTGATAGGCGCCACTTGCAAGCGTACGCCGGTCCTATCCGGCAGGCTTGGACCCTTGCTTCGATCATCGACCTCTTGAACAGCGGGAACAGCGAACAAGCGAAAGCAGTCGCGCTCTTAGCAGTCGCTGCTTTGGACCTAGCAGCGATAGACAATGGAAGCTGGCTTCTTGCCAGCGAGTTCTCGATGGACATCCAGCCGCCGTTCTCAAGCTTTCAGCGGCCACGTCAGCTCGACCCTCTCGAGTCCAGACAGAGTCGTGTGATCGACCCGAGGTGGATTTCGCTCTACATGAGTCGCATTCGCGAACGCGACGCCTACCACACAGCCAAACGCAACCTTGGAGGGGGGGAGGAGGAGCTCCGCTGCCCTCTACCGGAGACTCTGTGCCACCAGAAGTTCCTCCCAAGAAGCCGCCGAAGGGCGGCGGCAGAGGCGGGAAGGGCAAGGAGAAGGAGACTGCGAAGTAAGCTGGAAGCCTTCTTTGGGCTTGGCTTCTGAAGGCTGGGCCTCGCATGGGGTGCCGCCGAAGCTCCGAGATCTTCTGCCTCCGGGCCCTTCGTTCTGGAAACCACGTCTTCGGCACTACGATCTTTCCGTGCAGCAGCTCCGGTCATTTCGTGGCGCAGCTTGGGTGCCGTCACTCACCTGCTTGCCCTTTGGCCGGCCTTTTGCAGCTCCCTCTCCGTGTGAGGTTGAGCTCTGTTCTTCTAGGGGTTGTAAGTCTGGTTTAGGCCCTCCCCTCAATACCTTAGGTTCTTTTTCAAGTACAGTAGGCTGCAGCGTGCAGGCTCTCCCGTGTGAGCCGCCCTCCTCGCCTCAATCTTTCGAGCTTTTGCATGCCTCTTCTTCGCCGGGCCGTGGTGGTAGCCGCGACTTCTGCTCCGAAACTGCGCCAAGCTATGAAGGCTGCGATAGGAGCGTTGGGCCCGATGTAAGTTGCACAACGACGGACCCTGATAGTCCCGTGCCTCCTCGGCACTCTTTCTCCGGGGCTCCCGCTTCCGCCCCTTCTTTGGATCCTATGCCGGAGAGTGCAGCGCCTCCTTCTGGCCCCGGGGCCAGAGCGCCAAGAGTCATTCCTTCGGATCTCTGGGATACTTTCTTCGACTGCATGAGCAGGTCATCCTGCAAGCTTTCTTCTTTCTTTCATTCCATCCGTCTTCTACCTCGCGCTGAGCGAGGGCCTTCTTGCACCTCAGGTGCTTCCCGGCGGCATGGCGTGTGGCCCATGCCCCTTCCCTACCCCGAGCTTCATGCTCCGCGATCCGGCGGCAGAAGGGATCCTGAGCAGCTCGGAGTCAATGCAGTGGTGCGGTCTTGAATTTCTTGTTTCTTGGCGAGCCGGCCGTGGCAGGTCGCCATCTCCGTCTCGGGCTGGGAGAGCAGCTCACGAGCACCCAGCAGAGGGCTGTCGACTCTCTTCGTATCGGAGTATCGGCCTGGAACGCAGCCGGGCCTTATGTCGGGCGGGCGGCTGCAAAGTTTGAGGCTCTGAATGACATGCTGCTGGCTTGCCAAACTGAGGCCGAGTCGGTTCGGGCTTCTGGTATCCCCCTGTCTGAGGTGCTTTTCAGCTTTGCAGCTCCGTGCAATGTGCTTCCGGTCGAGCCTTCAAGGCTAAACTTCGTTGGTACTCCCAGCTTCGACCCGCTACCTTTCTTGGACTCACGGAATCGGGCTACATACGCCCGTCCCCTTGACTTTGCCAGGGACATCCTTGAAGACGAGAGCATCCCACGAGTCGCCGTGAGAGCTGACCGGCGACAGACCTCGGAGCTTCTCCAATTGCTGGACGACAGCGGCCGCCTTCGTCTTTTTGCCGAATCGGAAATTCGGCCCAGACTTCGGAACGGTTTGTTCAGCGTTGCTAAGGATAGCTCGCGGGATCGCATGGTGCTAGATGCTCGGACACCAATCAAGCTGAGGAGACCGAAACCCGTTGGATACGATCCTTGGGGACCCTTGAACAATTCCAATTTCCAATTCTTTTACCTGCCTGATGAGTCAAATTTTGAGATTCACACAGAAGATTTGAAGGAATTTTATCACAGCTTCATCGTAGGAGAACAGCGAGCAAAACGGAATGCCCTCGCGCTCGAGCTGACCTTTGAGGATGTTTCTCATCTCAGGGCGTGCTCCAAGTCGCTCCGCGGCTGCCGGATTATTCCGAGCTTGAATACTATGGCTATGGGGGACCTCAATGCTGTAGCTCTTGGTCAGACTGCTCATCTTTCGGTTCTCCTTAGGAGTGGGGTGCTTAGGCTCAGTGATTTCATCACGCTTCAGGGCCGCCCGGGAAGACCAGGCAGCCAAATCGCTGGCCTCTTGATTGATGATTTCATTTTGCTTGACCCGGTCCCGCGTCAGCTCCCGAGCCCTTGCTTTGAGCCTGCAGGCGTGCGGACCATGCGAGCTGTCACCGAGTCGTATCGCTCCAGCGGGCTTCCTCGCAATGAAAGCAAGGCCGTGTCGCGAGCCGCGATTGCCGAGTTTTGGGGCGGGCGGTTAGATGGTCGTAGCGGGCTTCTCCGGCCAGGGCCGAAGCGCACTTCAGCCCTCGCTCAGTTCATTCTTCAGCTTGTCCGAGGAGGCGTCAATTTGGTGGGGATGTTGGAAGTTGTCGCGGGCGGCCTGATCTCAGCCCTTCAGTTGCGGCGCCGCCTCCTCAGCGTTCTCGATTCTGTCTACAGCGTGCAGCGCCACCGGGACCGGCGTGCCTTTGTGCCTGTTGTGGGAGAGCTGTGCTCGGAGCTGCTAGTCAGCGCCGTGTTGCTTTGCCAGGTCGATGTCGACTTGAGGGCGCCCGCTGCGCCAGTGCTCTTGACCACTGATGCATCCTCTACGGCTGAAGCCAGTGCGGCAGTCCAAGTGCCCGAGCGTTTCTCCCTTGAGATGACTCGCCATGGTTTGCAGCGTGGCCTTTGGGCTCGGCTGCTTTCTCCTGCGCAGGCTTACCTGCGAGAGCGCGGAGAGCTGTCAGAATCGCAGGAGCTTCCCGAAGCTGTGTACGTCTCTCACCCTCTCTGGGAGGAAGTCTGCTCGTCTTTGCAGTTCCAGCAGCTCGGTCGAACTGTGAAGGTTAAAGCGCGGCGGCACATAAACATCGGGGAAGTGAGGGCTCCTCTTCGAAAGGAGCGAGTCGGTCAGGATTTCCCAGGGCGAAGATATGTCCACCTGCAGGACAGCCAGGTCAGCTTGGGGTCTTTCGTGAAAGGGAGGGCTGCCTCCTCCGCTCTCAACAGAGAGCTTCGGAGGTCGGTTCCCGGGCACTTAGCCAATCGGGTGAGGCCCTCGTACGGCTACATCCAATCCAAGCTGAACCCTAGCGACGACCCGACCCGTTCTGCTCCGCTTAGGTGCCCGACCAAGCCCCCTACGGCTTGCTTCGCTGGAGGGAGCACCAGCTCCGCCCCTCTCAGCTTGCAGGCCTGCCGCCCGAGAATGAGCTGTGGGCCGACGCCCCAATAGGTGAGGTCCCAGGCCCCGCTAACGCGCGGATGCGTGCTGTACTTGGGCCCGAGCAGAGGGCTGCCAGCATCCTTCAGAGGGCCCAGATCGGGGCCGGGGAGGCTCTCGAAATCTTCCGTCGCCTGCCGAAAGAGCTCTCTGCCAGGTCCACAAAGTGGAGCAGAACTGAAGCCTCGTTCTCGGCGGGGGTCTTTGTGCACGGGGGCATTGTCGGGCTCCGCCGGACGTCGGGGCTGTTCCCGAACTGCATCCAGGTTTTCACTCGGCTGATTCGTGAAGCCCAGCCTGGCTTCGTTTTCAGCTCCCTCAGCGTCAATCAGAATGTGCGGACCCTGCCACACATTGATAAGAATAATCTTTCGGGAGAGCCCAACCTGGTTGTTCCCCTTTCTCGGTTTAGGTCTGGAGGTATATGGGTCTTAGCTGAAAGCGGCTCCGAGCGTCTTCGACACAGAGGCAAGGATCACTACGGCGAGGTCCTCCCAGTCAGCGAGCGAGCTGTCAGCTTCGATCCTCGACGTCTTCATGCCATGCAGCCATGGACGGGAATCAGCGTCGTCCTTATCGGGTTCACGGGGTTGCGAGAAGCTTTCTGATGCCCTGCTGAAGCCCTCGACTTGGGTTTCGTGTTGCCTCCTGAGCCTAACGCTTCTCCTCCTTTCTTTCCGAGCTCTGCCGGCGTGCCCAAACCTCTGCCTGCTATTCGAGCCCCGGCGGGATTGCTTTGCGTTGAGGGTCCCACGAAGGTTGACCCGCCTAGCTTTGTAGGCGCCGACATAGGACCTTTTGCTACTTCCCATGCTCCAAGGTCCCGGCCTCCTAGCTCTCGTGGATTTGAGCTTTCTCCTGAGCTCCGGCGCTCCCTTCTCGAGATGCCTCCTGGGCGCTTCGTCATCTCCTCTGCCTTTGGCGATCTTTCCTCAGCCCTCTCCTCGGCTCCTGGGTGGCTCGATCTTTTCTCTGGGTCTCGGGGTTTTGCTAAGGCTGCTAAGGCTCTTGCTGCTGCTGCTCCCGGCTGGGTGTTATGCGTAGATGTGAGCCATGGCCTCGACGAAGACCTCCTGCGCACTGATCTGCAAAAAGAGCTTCTGCGGCTCATTCGGGGCCGAGCCTTTCACGGCGTTAGCGCTGGGCCGGTTTGCAGCTCGTTTTCGGGGGCGATCACGCCGTGCTGGCGTACCAAGGAGTTTCCTCAAGGCCGTCCAGACTTGCGGAGCGATCAGCAGGATAAGGTTCTTGCTGGGAACATGATGCTGGAGTTTACTCTCGAGGTCCTGCAAGCTGCTGAAGATGCTGGCACTCTTTTCCGGGTCGAGAACCCTCAAAATAGCTGGTTCTGGAGGCAGCGAGCTTGGGACATCCTGAAGGAGACTGTTCGCTGGGATGATTTTCTCTGTGATATGTGCGTCTTCGGTACACTCTGGAGGAAGGCGACCCGCTTTCGGACTAATTGTCAGCTTGGCGGCGCTCGCATGCGCTGCTCTAAGGATCATCGACATCAGGTCTTACGGGGAAGAGACCGCTCTTCCAGAGTCAGCTGGACCAAACTCGCCGAGGCCTACCCTAAACGACTCTGCCTTCTCCTGGCGACGGCATGTGCCCAGGATGCTGGCTGGCTTGGGGATTTCAGGCCTCTCGACATCTCTCGGTGTGCCAAGTGCAGCAATGCCAGAATCGGCGAAGCCTCCCATCCCGGGCCCCGGAGAGCAGCCCGAAGGCGCGAGGCTGTCCAGCTTCGAGAGGTCGCTACTGTGACAAAAGCGACAGCTGTTTTGCGTTCTGGAATTTGGGCTGCTTTCAAGGCCTGGGCATCCAATGAGGCTGGTGATGATGTGTGGAAAACCTTGCTTCTCCACCCCGACCTCCTCGTCGAAGCCCTTCTGAACTACGGTCAGGTCCTCTACGATCGCGGGGCTTCACTTCAGGAGTTCCGCCAGCTGCTTGCACACTGTCCTCAAGTGGTGCCCCGAATCCGTGCCGGACTGAAGCCTGCCTGGGATTTACTTACGAAGTGGGAGCGTCTGGAGCCAACAGTCCACAGGACACCTATGCCCGGGCCGATTCTTTGGGCTATGATCGGACTGAGTGTGTCTTGGGGCTGGCTCCGATGGGCCGCCGTAACTTTTTTATGTTTTCTGGGCTGCTGCCGCATTGGTGAGGTTTTAGGTGCGACTAGGAGGGACTTGCTGACTCCTTGGGACCTCCTGCAGAACGACCGACGGTTCTAGCTCGTTTTCAGGGAGCCGAAGACACGAGGGCGAGGAGCTCGAGTCCAGCACGTCGCTATTGACCTCGAGGAGCACTTTGCCGTCTTCGTCAAAAGGGTCCTTGGAGCGCTCCCCCCGCGGGAGCTCCTCTTTCCTGGGAGTGCCGGAGTTTATCGGCGCCGTTGGGACAGTGTCTTAGCTGCTCTGGACATTCCGGCCAAATTCAAGCTCACGCCGGGCTGTTTGCGTGGTGGTGGAGCTGTGGCAGCCTACCGCCGGAAACAGCCCATCGCAGATATTCAGTGGACGATGAGACTGCAGCATCAGGCCACGCTTGCTTATTACTTGCAAGAAGTCTCTGCTGAGTCTGTGCTTCCGAAGCTTTCAGTCGACGCCAGAAAGAATATCGTCGCTACTTCTGCTATGCTTCCGTACCTTCTCCGTGGTTCCCCAGCGCACTAGCTGCTACGCCCTGTGGGCTGTCTTTAGCTGTTGGCCGGTTGAGGCGGATGGATTCTTTGCTGCATAGCAGCACACGGCGCAAATATGCGCTCGAGAATCCACTCTTGCCGAAGCGGATGGAAAATACGGTGCGGCACGGAAGCAGACGCGGGTTAACATGATCAACATGTTCACTCGTGTACTGCAGTTTTTCTCGACCCTCCCGACCCGCCCGGGAGTCTTTGCTGCATAGCAGCACACGGCGCAAATATGCGCTCGAGAATCCACTCTTGCCGAAGCGGATGGAAAATACGGTGCGGCACGGAAGCAAACGCGGGTTAACATGCTACGTTTTGGAAGTGTGAACTTTGGAAGGCTTTCAAGCCGGTGAGCGGCATGAATGTTTCGTCGTTCTACATGGGAAACTACGGTCACAGGGCTCTCTTGTTTTGGATGTTCCAGAAGATGATCTTCCAGAGGGAACAACGGGCGAGAAAGAAAGCGAAGCTCCAAAGGAGGAATGAAAGTTAGAAAGTGAAGTGGAAGAGCTCACTCAGCCGATAGAGATGAGGACCATCTACGTCACAAGACCTCTTCGAAGAAGAATACGGCTTCAAAAGAAATTGTCCTGCAACTTCGCCAAGCTGGATTACATGTGGAAAGAGTTCACACGGACAGCGCCCGGGAATTCAACTCCCAACCGTACAAGACTTGGTTGGCAGAGAGCAACTTGAAACAGTCAAGAACGGCTGGATCTGATCCTGCCGGTAACAGCACTGCTGAGCTGGGAGTGAAATGGGCAAAGTCGAGAATACGAGCTCTACGACGATCAGGAGGAGCTGAGTCAAAGGACTGGCAGCTGACCATGCATCCTCTAAGTTTGGTTTCGGGCGAAAACCTTCAAGGGAACCAAGGAGAATAACATGAAGCAGCAGGAACAAGGTGGAAAAAGGGGTGGTGCAGAGGACCATCAAATGACGTGAACAAGGGCCACTTGATCTGCGCGAGGACGGTGCCTGACAGTGGCAAAGCGTGTGAAATTCAATGTGATCGAACCGGAAAAAGAACTAGTAACTACGTGATCTACTACCATATGGAACAGTCGAAGACGAGATCTTCGACCAGGAGGAGACGGGCATCAAAACCAAGCGGCAACTAGCTGAAGGGATTGAGTTTATGGCCAAGAAGCTTCTATACGAGAAAAACTTCGATCTCAAAGAAGTTCTCAACCTCTACTACATGCTAGAGGAGTTGGGGGACACCGACGTCAGGATTGGAAAGAAGACTGCCGTCACCTCGTGGTATACTGGTTGGTTCCTACGTCCATGGTGGAAAGGCCGGACTTCGGAGGAGTTTGGTCCAGTATCCCAGCACCATCAAGTATACGTACAAGTACCAACTGCAGCTCGCGAAGAACTACACCGGGGACACGAGCTTCACCGCCTTGGGCATAGCAAAGGAACTCCGAACTTGGCGTGCACCGGGACTCCCACAATTACGGTGAATCGCAGAATGCCGCTCTACCTCTAAAAGAGTTCGAGAACAGACAGCTTTGGGTAATGGACCAGGACGTGAGGAATGAGGAATAGTGTGTATAAAAGGTTCTCCCGAATGACAAGGTTGTAAAAGGCAGGTTTGTGGACATGAAGATGGGTCATGTTACCAAGTTTTCACCACGAACCTGGCATGAAGTGGGAAGGAGCCAGAGTTGTGATGCTGATGTATTCACCGAGGGCTACAAAGCTGACCCCACCGGGCGTGAAGGAGCTGCAGAAGTTTGGTTTTGTGGTGGATCCTGAGTCATTGAAACCTGAAGTGTACGAAAACGAGAAAGATTCAGAGGGGCTTGCAAAGAGGACGGGGCCAAGCTGAGGGCCCTTCGAGGGGAAGGCCAAAGTCTTCAAACCTTCATAGAAGTGGAGGATACTGAGCTTTACCAGAGTTGCAGGGACAAGGATCAACGTCTTTTGCAAGTGAAGATCCAGGTCCTCACCTACGGAGAATGATAAAGAAGTCCGAGGTTCAGTACACGCAGGACATCGAAGCAATCCTTGAAGAATGTGTACGGAACCAACAACCGTTGGAAGTGCATCAGCTATAGCTTACAAACTTTGTTGATGCACAAGACCGCCCTTGTACTGAAAGCCTTGAATGATCAGTTGTGAGCGAAAGTGCCATGTTGTGTAGTCTCTCATGTGGAGCTTGAGGGAATCGTGGCCCGCTTTCGTTATGGCTCAGGGTGGGCTGCGGAGTATGCCCCTTGGGTCATGAATATGACACGTCAAGCAGTACAAACCTTGTACACCCACTACAGCAAGCGATGTAGGATGCAGACTTTATGTCTCGGGCGAAAAAGCTTGTGAACTCGTGTGTGCTGCCATGGATGGTTCTTTGGAGCCAAAGTACGGTGCCGTTCAACCTGATGTAAACCCAGCTCCTATGCATGCGACTGGCGCCCTTGATGCGCAGGAGAATGCTGAAAACACCGTGATGGCGGTGAGAACGATGGCGGTGGCGGTGGCTACCAGTCAAGGCCCGAGTACCCTGGGCTGACCCGCGGAGGAACAGCATTGGACAACGGTGGATCCGCAGCAGGGAAACACCGACGTGGGCCAAGGATCGTATGAGCAGATGAATGTAGCCCAGGCTTCGTGGAGCATGATGCCTACGAGGAGGACAACTCCGGCGTGGATTCAGCGGCTTGGTGCTTTCTTTCAGGAGAGGAGGGTTCCGCGGCCAAACCACACCCTGTGGTCACCATCTCCTTTGACCTCGCCACAACATCCGATTGGGAGAAGGGCAGTCGGGTCCCCGAAGTCTGAGAAAGGTCAGTGGGCTTCGCAACTGCATGGTGAGTGGAGAGAACAGCGGGAGCAGCTTCAGAAGATGGAGCGTCGAGCGCCGTTGTTGTATGGCAGGCCTCACAGACAGGAGCGGGCTTATGATGTGAGCTCTGGAAGTGGAGGGAGCACATATGAAGCCGTTCAGGAGGAGGTCAGAAGGCAGCTACGTGGGGTGGTGGAGCAGCTGGAAGATTCGCCAGGAAGCAAGAGAGTTGAGGAGAGGGATGGTGAGGCTCAAGCGAGACGGAGATGAAGAAGATCGGAGAGGAGAGCAGCTGACATGTCCGCAGGGACCACCGCAACCCTATGGAGGGTATCTATCAGCGCCAAATCGTGGGGACTCTTCGTTGGCACCTCGGGTCGGGCGTGCATGCAAGGACTTCTATGGCTCCGGATGTGCCTACCTTTGCAGGGCCGCCTATGACTGAGAGATCGGGCTCGCAAGCAAGAGCCTCTACTTCTTCGGGGACTGCAGGTCTTACAGGATCTTCTTTGACAGGGCATCGGGCTTGCAGTTGGGTGGTAGTTTTCCGGCGCAACTAGGAGCTGCAGGATCTTCTATGACAAGGGAATCGGGGCGGCAATGGGTACTACGACACCGACGCCTGCCACGGGTGACCCCATGGTTCGGCTACTTGGAGGGCTCGAAAAGGTCATCAAGAAAGGAGGAAAGCCTGAAGAGTTGAGCCAGGTAACAGAAGGACCCAAGCTTTTGGAGATTTCGAAGTTCTTCTGTGGACTTAGGTGATTGGTTGTATTGCCTGGAGCACGCCATGGGGGACATGTCTGCTAGTAGTGCGGAGTGGTGGAAGCTTGTGGTGAGAGATGCCCAGGACTACTACGACAAGTACCAAGCCGCGGACCAGTGTGGAAGGATCTCAATGAAGCCTACGCCGTCAACGGCGTTGAGCGGTCCAAAGTGGATGAGAGTAGACCGAAGGGGAGCGTCAGTTCTTCTGGGTGCGGTGCCGGAGGATGTGAAGAAGGAGTTGATCGCGTCGAGCTCAAAGAGCACCCTGCATGTACTGGTAAGGCTGATGGTGTTGTATCGGCCAGGAAGTGCCTTGGAGAAGGGGCGAGAGCCAGGATGCCGCGGAAGGTTTGAGGCAGTGGCTTAGGTAAAGCCCTGGACGGTATGCTGAAGAAGCCTGTGGCGGACCATCCAGAAGTCGGTTGTCGCATGAATTTGCTGCGATACCATTTGAAGGTTGGCTTCCTGCCCTCGGAGGACAATGTGCTTGCGATCCACAGGGCGTTCCTTGCGGAGTTTGAGCAGATGGGGTACAAGAATAGAAACAAACCTGGAGCCAACACCGGGACCCACGTTGCGCGTGCCATGAACAAAGAGCAGCCTCAGCTTCCAACTTCGCCTACGAAGGACACCAAGGGAGGAGCAAAGCCTTGCCGTTTTTACCTGTCTGATGAAGGGTGCCGGCGGGGTAAGGCTTGCTGCTTTGAGCACACAATGAAGGACCTCTCCAAGGCGGAAAGAAGAGATCGGTGCACAAGCATCTCGGTTGCTACAGAGAAGTTTCCGGAGGAAGCAGCGCTGGCAGCGAGGCTGTTGAGCTTGGACCATCCAGGAAAGGTCATTACTTCGGTGGCTTTGGTGAAGAATGCAACCATGCCCATGCACAAGGACTCCTTCAACCTCAAGTCGACAGTCAACTTGGTTTCTCCTCTCTCGGTGTCCGAAGGGAGTTGTGTTTGGCAAGAAATGAAGCCAGGCGATGAGTTTTATGGGAAGTACAAGTCCATGTGCTTCAAGGACAAGGAGGTCCCTGGACAGCTGTTCAGTGTGGAGGTGCCCACAACCGTTCGGCCAGATCGACTACATGCGCCTTTGGAGGGTGAACGGGCGACAGAGTGGTTTTGATTGGCTACACGGTCAGCAAGTGGGAAAAGCTCTACGACCACCAGTGCGAGGATCTCTCAGACTTGGGACTTTGTGTTGCCAGAGAGGGAGCCACGCATTCGGATGTTTGGAAGTGCAGGCCCAAGAACTCCAGCACCTCCAACACCCACGAATTCTACGGGAGCCTCTATGCGGGTGCCGACCACGGGTTCAACAGCGGTTTCGGGATCGAATTTCTTGGGACCTGGATCTTCAAGTGAGTCGACCTTGCAGCGGCCCCCCTTCAGAAGATCATATGGAGGTGAGCGGTTCCCAGAGCTGAGTGGCGGAAGGATGGACGCGACAGTCGTCCCAGGAGGGAGGATAGAACTACGACTTGGTGGGCTCTCCGCTACTGTGCGGAAGCTAGCCAGGAGAATGTGGTCATGACCTCAACGCCACTGATGCCACTGGGTTATGAAGAGGAGCAGCACCTGAGGAGGAGGGTGACTTGGCTTTCGGATCTGGTGGAGGAAGCAAGGCAAATTCGTCGAGCTAGAGAAGCCCGTGGAGAGTATGCCAGCCAACCCGAACGACAGCTCTACTACAAGCTGGATGAGGCCATCGACTACATGAACGAAGTCCTTAATGTGAGCGATGCCACTAGACAGCAGAACCAGGTGAACCTCATGAGGATGGCAGCCAATGCAGGATCCACGGTGAATGTGGAGGAGATGTCACAAGCATTGGCGAGGCCCTTGGAGACGGTCCATACGGTGGACCTGCAGGAAGTCCGGAGAAATCTCCCAGTGTGGGTTCCAAGTATTGCAAAGGAAGTGCAAACTTTGGAGACTTCGGGCACCCTGCATGGGATCCCACTTGCGGATGCAAAAGAAAGGGCGGCCAGAGGTGAGTTGGTTTTGGTTCCGGCAAAAACAGTCCACACGGCAAAGCCGCCTGGTGAAGGAGATGGTCTGTTCAAGAGGCGGTCAAGGATTGTGATTTGTGGAAATTACATCCACAATGAGGTGGATGTCTAACTGCCTCCGCCACAATGCAGAGAGCGTCCGATGTTCATTGGCATTTGGCGCAAAGAAGAAGTGGCTAAGGCCCCCAAACCTCGTCTGGGACCGGAACCTCCAAAAGGCGAGCGCCAAAGAAAGCTAGTTGATGAAGGTGCGCTCCTTCAAGCCAGGGAGGAAAGGCTACTTGGCGTCTGGACGGCGAAGCTCAGGGACGAGCTAGAGCTGTGCAAGGTTCTCGTGCTGGATAAGATCAAGGTAAGCCTTCACCCCGATAGAGCTATCCTCCCCCGATAGAGCTATCCTCCTGCTAGCTGGCAAGACGAGACCGAGCACTCTGAAGCGCTACGTGACGATGGCTGGGAGAAGCTAAGGGGGTTCATCCCCCTGGTGAGCCGGCCGACTACATCCTGGCTAGGAGAACCGTCCCCGAGGCCATCCTCAAGGCGATCAGCTGGAAGGTGGCGGAGCTCCGACCGGGAGCAGGGCTACAGCAGGATGCCTGGTATGGCGATCAAAGATACCGTGCGTGGTGGGGGGTTTTCGGCGGCGATCCTGGTCCGATGGGAGAGGATTAGTACGGGTAGTTCGAGAGGCATCGGTTGGAGGAGATGGGCTTGGGCCGAGTGGTCAAGGTCTGGGCTACCTCCGTTGGTCAGACCTTCGAAGGCTAGCCACCATCCTGCGGAGGACCAAGACCACAGGAGGATAAAAGAGCGAGAAGAAGATGGCGACCTACACGGACGCGATGGTGGCCACGGCTGGGCTGTTGGCTATGGTGGGCGTACCGGTGGTTCGGAGCTACTGGTCGGAACATGGTGAAAGGGCGGTGCTTCCAGCGGACCGGGACATGCTAGGCCGCTGGAAACCCGGCTCAGATATCTACATGAGGGTGTACGGGGGGAGAGTGGCCAGGCTACAGGCTATCTACGCCCAGGCGGCCCAAAACGAAGACCGCGAGGAGAAGGAGATCTCCAAGAGGAAAGCCAAAAGCAGAGGAACCAGGATTTCAACCACGAGACGACGAAGACCGCAAATACTGGGAAGAACAGGACAGGATCTCAGAGGAACAGAAGAAAGCACGAGCGGCAGCAGCAGAGGAGAAGAATGCAGCAGAGGAGCAGATCGCCAAAGCAAGGAAGATCTTAGAGGAAGCGGCAGCAGAACAGGAAAGGAGAGACAAAGCAGAAGCAGCCGCAGCAGCCGCCCAGAGAAGGCGAGAAGAGGAAGAAGCCGCAGCCGCAGCCAAAGCAGAGAAGGAGGAGAAAGAGAAGGAAGCAGCAGCCGCAGCAGCAGCCAAGGCAGAGAAGGAAAAGAAGGAAGTAGAGAAGAAAAGAAAGGAGAAGGAAGCAAGGAAGAAGAGAGAGCATGACCAGAAGCAGTCATCAGCATACATTGCAAAGAAGGAAGCAGAGAAGAAGGCAGCAGCAGGAACAGGATCAGGAGAAGTGGAAAAGAGAAGTGAAGAAGAAGACAGGATCAGGAACAGATGATGGAGGACATGATGAAGGAACGTAAGGAGGATAAGGAGAGGATTGCAAGCCTTACGCAGGAACTCGAAAGCAGAGGATCGGCAGCCGGGTCACAGGCACCCACGGAACCAGACACAACACCAGCAAAGGAACCCGCAAAGGAGCAGGAGCAAAAGCAGGAAGCAAAAGAAGACAAGGAACTTTCCGCCAAGGGACCGATCAATGAAGGATCGTTCCAGAAAGGAAAAGGACGTGGAGAGTTTGAAGGAAACTGGTTTGCAGTCTACAGTTTCCAGAACAGGAAATACCAGTGGAAGTGGAACGAAGAGAACAAGAAGTGGTACTGGTACTCAGGAACAAAAGCTGGTGGTTGGAAAGCAGGAACAAAGGACGCCAAAGGAAAGGAAAAGTGTGAAGCACAGGCAAAGCAGCTCAAGGAAAACAAAGGAAAGCTCAAGGAAGACCCAAAGGATCCCGACGTCGTGGTGGTCGAGGACGAAGAAGAAGAAGAGGAAGACAAAGGAAAAGAAGCAGGCAAAGGAAAATCAAGCTTCCAGTGAGGCCAGAGAGCCAGAGGAAGGACAGTGAGCAGCGACACAGGAACCGTGGCATAGCCCTTTTTGTTTCTGTGGTGATCTAAGTAAGTGCAGGAATACTTTTGTACAGTCTAGCAACCTTGGAGAGGATTGCAAGTGAACGGCAACGTTTGCGAAGAGGAACAGCGTTTGTTTTTAGTGAAAAGGAACTCAGCCTGCAGCACTGTGGAAACTTGTTTCTGGTCATCTGAAGACAGATGAATGCAAGTCCATCAGTCGTGCAGCCCAAACGGCTGAACTTGTGAATGGCATTGATTTCACGGTTGTCCGGAGGTTGCATCGGAGTTGGCAGTGAAGTCAACCTGAAAGGCTGCCTGCGCTTGAAGTGGTTGTGCAAGGTTCTTTCAAGTTTCTTGACCACACGCCTTTTGCTAGAGAAAACTGTCCTATGTGCCAATGTCCGCATGGTGCGAGCGTTGAACATCACCGATTATGGGAGTGCCCATGGATGTTGTCTCAGCTGCAGTCGCCTGTCCCACCGTCGTGGAATTTGTTGAACTCGCACCAGTCCTCGCAACGCAGCTTTTGGCACCAGTTGTTGGTGCCAAGTGACTACACCTCCCTGCTGCCTGCTGATGAGGAACATGTTGAAGTTGACGGCATTTTCGAAACTTTGCCTGCAAGCGTTGACGGCTTACAGTTGTGCACAGATGGGTCAGGGGGACCGTTTACCAGTGATCCGCGCAAGCGGCGTTGCAGCTACTCGATTGTCGCCTTGCGCCCTGTGTCGGATACATGGGTCTGTGTCGGTAGGTACACTGCTTCTCTTATTGGCTCTGAACAGACGGTTCCAAGAGCAGAAACCATGGCAGTGCTTAAGGCCCTGCAGTTGACTGTAGGAGATCTTGAGTTGGCCACTGATGCTGATTATGTTCATCGCCGCTTCAAAAAGCTTTCCAGATCTAGAGGCCTTGGTTGCACCAATCCCGATCTGTGGACGGAAATTAGGGCCAAGAGCGTGGGAAGAAGTGTTTCAGTGCGTAAGGTGAAGGCTCATCTTTCACAGGCGGAGTTTACCGACCTGTTTCCTCACGAGCCCGTCTGGTCTTGGATTGGAAATCGTGAGGCTGATTCGCGGGCCCAAACCCACGCTAACAAGCACACGGATTGGGACAGAGCTGCTGTCGTTGACTGGGTTGACCGCCGTGTGGTTGAAGTTGCGGAGCACCTTGTCACTGCTGCTTTGTTGTGGATGCAGAAGGCTGACCCTTGCGCAGCCTTGGGTAAAGTGCATGGCCCTAAAGGGCCAACGAAACAGCAGTTTCTCGAGCACCTCACCGTCACTCACCCACAGCATGTTTGGCAAGTGAAACCAGGGAAGGCTTGCTGCGCAAATTGTCGGTTGCTTCTTCGCAGTAACATGTCCCAGGCACGCTTGAAACAGTGTGCCGCACAGCAGTGCATAGGAGCGGGCAGTGCTACTGTCCCTGTTGGTCACCCCAGCCACTTATTGAGACAGGAGGGTTTGATTTGGAAGTGTGTCTTTTGCAGTAAGCGCGCCCGAACTGCGGCAATCTTTGAACACTTTCGCCTGCCGTGCCGATCTAGGCAAGGGAGGAGGCGAGTCTTGCGTTGAGCAGGTGAGACGGTTCGTTTACAGCTTGGCTTAGGAAAATGAAAAGGAACTGCAGCGTGTTTGCTGTTTGTCAAGGAAAGTCGGAGTCACCTCAGTCGAGGAACTTTCGCTAACTCCGCAGGCGGGGCGTTAAACATTCTGCCAGGAACAGTAACACAGCTAGTGCAGTACAGTTATTGTATAGGAACAGCCAGTCACGCACTCGCGACGTACAGGCTCGAGACTACCAGGACACACTCCGCAGACAGGAAAAGTGTCCGCCGTTGAGAGTGAGTAGGAAAGCATGAAGCCCGTTAAAAAGAGTCCATGCCCTTGAGGAACGCCCCGGAGATGTCCCAGGATTCGCAGTCCAGATCCTCGTTGGCCGCAGTGGATACCAGTATCCGCTGTGACAGCCTCGTCGCCGTAGTAGATCTCGTGGAGAGGAGGCTTTTCTGACTGTCGAAACAGCCCCTGGCGCAGAGGCGAGATTTCACCTTCCGCTCTCCATTTGGAAGCCTTTTCCACTTCCGTATCCACACGGCGTCCACGATGACTGTGTCGTCGCCGACCCCGTTGACATGGGCCTTGGCAAAGGACCCGGTGTCCACAAACTGGCGAATCTCCTCGGAGTCGGCCTTCTCTCGACCTCACGAACGCATTGAAGCCTCCAAGGATGGCCACTTTGGCCACGACTCCTTTGAGCTTGGAGGCGGAGGGTGTGTCGATGATCTGATCGGGAAGATGACAGACGAGCCGCGTGCCTGGAAATCGTTTCGGGCACTGGGAGGTTGACCGCTGCCCTGATCCATGAGGGGCTTCGCTGCCATCCCGACATCGAGGTGGCAAAGGGGTCCGTTTTTAAAATGCTCCGCCCTAGTTCGCAACGCAGGGTGCTCGAGTTCATCAGGATGGGCAAGATTTGGTATGTTCACCTAGGTACTCCATGCTGTGTGTGGTCTAGGGCGAGAGACACTGGCAACGATTTGTTCACAGCCTCATGGACTCTGCGGGGCCTGGGCTCAGCAGCTCTCTCAGATATGCCCCCTAGGCGCTCGGGGATCCGTCAGCGCCTCCGAGGCAGGAGAGCTTCTCAATGGCCTCGAAAAAGCGGCGGGTGGAGCTCAACGACACACTTCGTCGCCTTCCCGATGCAGTCCTGATGACTTCAGTGAGAAGGAGCTCCGAAGGATCCGCAACCACCTCCGCACGCACCCCGTCATCTTCGGCCACTTCACCGGCTTCGACATCGCCAGGCTTGCCGGGTACCACAGCAAGCCCGCCGAGGAAAAGAGCGTCTAGAGCGGCCCCTGAGCGCCGTGCCCGCCCAGGCCAGACTCCGCTGTTTGAAGGTGACCCAGAAGACTCTCACCAGCTACTACAGCCACATGGCAGAGTTTGAGGCGTGGGCACGGCGACGGAGGGTAAGCGTGAACTTGAACAACTTGGACCGGCACGTCACTGCATTCCCCACCTTTCTTTTCGAGGAGGGTGAAACGCAACCCAGCACGGGCGCATACCTGGTGTACGGCCTGCAACTCCTTCGTTGTCAAGGGCCCAGGCAGGCTTTTCTTCCCAAAATGGAGAAAAATGGAGCCGGGCAACATGCGGCTCCCTGTGCCCGAGGAGTTCGTGCTGGATGCGGCGACCCTCGCTTTGGAGCAGGACCGTGTCGACATTGCCCTCGTCATGGTCATCCAATTAGAAACACCTACTTGCGACCCACAGAGTGTGTGAGCCTCACTCGTCACCACTTCGCCATGCCTGCAGGGAGGCGCTACAAGCACTGGGCCATTATCGTTGCTCCCTCTGAGCTGGGTGAGACAACCCAAACTGGTAGCTCTGATGACTCAGTGCTGGTGGCCGACCTTGAGCTACGACAGGCTCTTGGGCTGTGGGTGCCTTCTGCTTCAGGGCGAGTGTTTCTAAAGCTTTCGCGAAGCCAGCTGGAGCAGCGGTGCAAAATGGCATGCCAACAGCTTCGCTACAAGTCGTGCTGCGTGCTGCATCATGCCACGCATCCTTCGCCACAGTGGTGCATCAAACGATGTGTGACACAAACGGCGAGACCTCGCTTCCGTTCAGAAGCGAGGCCGATGGCAGCAAGGAATAGCGTGACCCGCTATGAGAAGCACGCGCTGCTCCAACGGCGGTGGACTCAAGCGGAGCCAGACCGCCTGGCGACGATCACTTCTGGGCGACGAATCAGGCCGGGAAGTGTGGGAAGGTTTGTTGTAGTCGGGACGTGTCTACAACATTGCAGAGCACAGCAGGCATGTCGCCCGCTTGTAAAATATGGGCTCAGAAATCACCCGTGGCCAACCCAAGGCCAATGGGGATCATTTTCCTTGGAAGCCTGAATGGCCTCCTCCGGGAAACGGCTGCGAACGGCAGCCATTTCCGCCGTTTCAGAAACGACTCCGCTCCTCCGGTGTTGCAGGTGGAGGCCCGACTCAACAGTACTTAGCGCGTTTCGGCTGCCAAAAGCGGCTTGCACTTCTGGGCGACGAATCAGGCCGGGAAGTGTGGGAAGGTTTGAGGATGTCGATCCGCTCGTGGGGTTCATTGTGGGGAACACATGTTTCTGCTAAATTAGAAGCATACCGAGAAGATCAGCATGATTCTAGCCATTTTGGGCAACCCCTCATTTCTCATCCTAGTAAGAAGTTCGTAATTACCAACTTTGTATAGTTCTATAATCCAATTGGTATGAACCTCATTCTAGTCTTGTTTAATCTTTCTGAATTCTTACTATGCGCTCTCATATGTCGGGACGTCCCATATGTCTACGTGGAAACGGTAGGGATCCAATCATTCTCGAACCATAGAAGGAAATGGATGTCTTGAGGTACTGGGACAAAATTCTGGATAAAACCTGATTCCAACAGTTTCTGGTTTGTTGTTGGTTATATATACATATACACATATGAAGCGGATTACTTAAGGGTTGGTATATATATATATATATATATATCTATAACTCCATTTTGCGTCGTGTCAGGGTGCTTTGTGGCCTTGCGACAAGGTCTTCGGTTGGCCTCTGTTCTCTTCCGAGCCTTTTGGCCTTTCGTAAGCCCTGTACAGGGGCTTCCCGAATATTGCCGGAAGATGTGGAGGTATTTGTCGAATATTCTTTGAATTGTTGGGAATCTCCGGAATAGAAATTTCATGCAATGTTTGTGAATCACCGGAATTTTCTGACTCGAAATTTCCTGGGGCATCTTTGGGAATCCCCAAAGCAAGCCCCGCACCAATCGAGCATGGCTTGGCTCATACCTTCTTCCTGTGGAACGTTTGGGCGTGCATGGGTGGGGTGCGTCGGTGTGTGGATGTGTCGGTGCGTGCGTACGCGGGAGTATGTGGGGGTGCGCGGTTGCATGAGTGGGGTGCGTGTAAGGTGGGTCGGGTGGGTAAAAGAGGGGGATGGGCACGACGGGAATTTTATATTTTTTTATTTATAACCAATTAAATTATATTAGAAAAATTGAATATACAATATAATTTCGATCAGATTAGTAAGGAGGGTAGGATTTCACTAAATTTTGATACTTCGATTCTTGAAATTTAAAAGGCCTATTTCTTTTTCTTTTCTATCGTGATAATAATAATGATAAACGAAATATTCGTGAGATTGATGCTATATATTTTATTAATATTGAATCTAGTAATAGTTTTGGAAAAGATCAAATTCCGGGATGAAATTATTAGGAATGGAAGAGAAATATGGGAAGATTTAAGATCGAATATAGATTGGAATTTTCTTTAATTAGACTCTTAAATAATGGGTTTTATCGATTAGGAATGAAAATAGATAGAATAGAAAATTCTCATTCATCTCGTATTTTCTGTGCTTTTAGAAATTAAATATTTGTATTTATATATCGATAGGTCGAAGGAGTTCAAAAAAAAATTTCATAAGGGATTTACGAAATAGGTCGTGGAAGACACTATAATTGAGGATGCTATTTTTAAAATAGCTCTAGAAAATCTTAAATTAAATAATTAATTTCGGGCACGAATTTTATTGTAAGTTATTGAGTTTTCGTCGTATTTCTGGGTATCTATAATACGAATTATTATAATATAGTAGAGGTCTGAGGTACTAGGTATGTTTACGAAGGCTAAAATATCTTTCGGTATTAAAGTATTTGGTGCGCGTAAAGGCTTGTATATCTATTTAAGAAAGATCTTTATGGATTATTGGGCGATCTATATATATAAATGATTAGGCGTCTGGCGTTCTTAGTCTCTCTTCTCCCCCCCCTCTTAATGGTATGGTCTGCTAGGGATGGAGGGGCTTGGCGCTTGTAGAAAGGGGTTGCGGGCCGTTGGAGCTACTACTGGATGATGGGGTGGTGTTGGCGGCCAGGTCTCACGCGTAGGTCTTTCGTAAGTAAGTCGTAATCCCTATCACGTAGGGCGTGCCCCTATTTTGAGCAACCTTAATTTGTACTTAAATTACTACACCCCGCCCTAAATACCACCTAACTGCAGGCTCTAAGCCTAAAGCAGAGTATACACCACAAATCCTCCCTAAACCTTTATCGATTCGAAGCCTTCTACCTTGCAACCGTAAACCCTAAGCTACCATCTAGTTGCCTCAGAACATCCTACCTTTCGGCGCTTTAGCCTCCCACACTTGTTGTTGTATGCAGACGATATTCTGGTCTTTGGGTGCTCGCCTGAAGATTTGCAGGGCAAACTCCATGACCTCCAAACCTGTCTTGCAGCCATTGGACTGTGTATTAACACTAACAAGTGCGCTGTTTTGCACGACGAGGGAGGAGTCTGTCCGGGCGTTTGGCCGATTCGGAAGGCGCAGCCACTAGCAGGATATGATTCGCTGGTTTATCTTGGGGTTCCACTTTCACATAAGTGCACGCCTCTTGGACAGCTAGGTGTTTCCCTAGCACGCGTGTCAAGCTCCTTTTTTTTTGGTTTGCGCAGACTCTTTGATCATCCATCGACACCCATTGGGACCAAGCTCGAACTGTTCAGGAGCTATCTGACCTCTAAATGGTCTTGGTGCGCTCCAATTTCATGGCCGTCCCAGCGGGCCCTGCGTACAATAGATGCCTTTAAACATACTCTCCTGCTCTCTTTCTTGAGGATTGATTTTGATCCCCTTTTACCCTTCCTCGCGAACACCCTCAGCAGGAGACGCGCGGTCCGTATTATCTGCCAGGACCACCAATCAGAACCGTGGGCCAAGCTATGGCTGGTGCGCATTTGGTCCTTCTGGGGACATATCTTTCGCACCGAACATGACCTGCCTCTGCAACGAGTCTTGCGTACTTGTAACACGAGTCTTGTTGGTAGACCGCAGTTACCTAAGCAAGTCGTGCTTGATTGCTTTCCCAGGAAACTGCAGAAAGCATGGCTTAATTTTCGGGGTAGGTCTCCCTTTAAAGCTGTGGAAACCTTGGCGTTGGACAGATTCGCCTGGAAACAAGCCTTGGATCTGTGGCTCTCCCATTGGGGCGTCGCGCTCGAACCTTTCAACTTTCAAGATATATACCTGCATGATCGACAGCTCCTACTTGTAGGTTCTGATTTGGCTGTTTTGAGACCTGCCCGTCTCTTCCCAGACTCGTCCTATCCGAGACATGTTCAGAAGATCTTAGTAGGCCAACCCTCCAGATCTGCATGGTTTATTTGGGCCCAGTTTGACAACTCCTCTTTGTCTCTCGTTGTCGTGCCCCCGGGTAACCTGTCTCGCCAGCAGATACTGCTTCAGGGTCGTAGTCCTGCTGACCTTCTTGACAGAAGACTTCTTTTCTGGGATATGCTCCTTAAGCTTTATCGGGCACTGCCGGAATTGCTGGATATGCAATGTAACTGCTTCGTGCCCTCGTCGGTTTTCGGTCAGCATATCTTTGCCCATAGAGTTCCCCTGAACAAGCTGTCTGAAGTCCAGAGACTTGAAAGACTTAGAATCTCGGTTGATTTACTACATCTTTGTATGCTTCAACCAAAACAAACCCCGCCTTGGATCCAGACTGCCCTGCTTTCTGTTTCCGGCCCCTTCCCTGGACCCTATAATTTCCTGGTCCGGTCAGCCAACTTCAGGGAAGCACGTTTCTTTGCGACGTTACAGGATATCGTCAGACTTGCACATTGAGTGTCCTTGCGGGTTGGTTCGTCAGGGTCTGCACTCGCTCCCTTTTCCACATGCAACTGTCACTTTGGTGCATAGTCCCGTTTTGCTGCTTGTTATCACACGACGGGACATGAGGGGGGGGGCAGGTCGGCCAGTTTAATACCTGCCTATGTGTGTGCTGCAGCACTCGCCGCGCCAAGCCTTGAGTGTTCTCTTTGTCATTTCGCGCTCTGTAGCCATGCCTGCTGCAGCTGGGACGCCGATCTCAGCCTCGCTTTTTGCATGGCTTGCAGGAGATCAATTTTGGACAGTGCTCTACACCGTGATTTTGATCTTCGCGGTTCAGGGCTTTGTGTCGATGTGGAAGCCCTTCCTGACTCGTGGCCCTGCTGAGGCTCCACAGATGGGGGAGACTCCACCAGAGAAGCCGATGGAGGCGTCCATGGCATCGGCAAAGGTCGATAAGACAGCAATCATCTCATCGCCCACTGCCTCTGCCACCTCCGACTCACAGGATGGGTCGGCTCTCGCACCGGGGGCAAGTCCAGGTCCGACCAAAGACGTGGATCCCGCCCCTTCTGGAGATGGCACCGCTACTACGGTCAAGGATGGCTCTACGGGACAAACCACGGGGGCAGCTAAGGCTCCTGACAATGTCCCTAAGGATGGGCAATTGTCCACCTCGGCCACCCCGAAGTCGTTGGGACCTCCGACAACTACATCGACCCCGACCACTGCTCCTAAGGCAGCTGCTGCCCAGCCTATCACGGCGCAACAGCTCATGAAAGAGATGCAGACGATGCATGGCGATGTCAAGATGTGTCATGTGGACCTGAAGGGCCTGATCTCCACGGTCAGTGAACTCAAGGATACAGTCAATGCCTTGAAGGATGTCCCTTCGAGGGTGGCTGCCGTCGAGAAGATTCTGGGCACACTGGCTGGAAAACTTGGTCCTATGGCGGCCAACACAGACTCCACGCAGAAAGTCGTTGACCAGGGCTTCAAGGAGAACGTGCGACTTCTCAGCACGATCTCGGCTAATGTCCGAGGGCATCGTGAAGACGCCTGCCAAGAAGCCAAGGACTTCCATGCGGAGCAGAGGCAGTGGCTCAATGCCACAGAAGCCAAGCTGGTGGATGGCATTAAGGAGGTGCTGAAGAAAATCACCAATACAGATTTCAACTCCTCTCAGGTCTACAACCAGAAACTGGAGGGCATCGCCTCGGAGATCCTTGCAGCTTTGAACTTCACGCAGAACGAAGTTGCAGACCTGAAGCAGGCTCTGGGGACCACCAGTGAGGAGGTGCACTGCATCAAGGAGATGTGCGAGAGGCCGGTGGTGTCGTCATCGACACATCCACCACAAT